CCCCCAGCCACTCGTGACTCGATGCATCTATTCTCCATAGGTGGGACAGTGAGAGAACCAGCCCAGCGATCACTGTGCTGTGACTTCTCTTTAATAGCTGGGATAAGGTTCATCCTCTCCCCCACTTTTTAAAATTTTTACTTATTTTACTGACTAACCTAGGTATCACGCATGGGGTATCTGATTTCCTGAGCCACCTGTCATCCGTGAGGGGCTGCAGGGCACAGTGGGTTAGAGAACAGACTCCGATTTCCTGTTACGTGGATCTGAAACTCTGACTGGTGGAGTGACCTTATATAAAACGACAGGGACCCTCAATTTCTTCAGCTGTAAAATGGGGACCATCCTAATAAAACCTACCTCGAAGGAGTGTTATGAGGATTACGTGGTATATCAAAGATACTTGGCACAGTGCCTGGCACTTCGGTACTACATAAATGTTTACTATTATTATTATTACCGTACTTTTCTTACAATGTAATAACATTGTCCCCTAGTTATTCATGATTATACCAAAAAATATGAATACTTGCTTTCAAACGATTCCACACTGTTTCAATTAATATTCCTCTACAGAACTAGTGTAACCACTAAATGTGAATCTGAGGAATATTCTCCAGAAATAAAACCTGGACTGTCAAGAAAACTAGTCTCCTAACCAGTAACTCAAGTTAATTTAACAGAAGTTTGCTGTGATTATAAATATTCAGTACCTTCCTTTCAACATTTAGCATAATTATCCAAGTTACTCTATGTGACGGACACAAAATAGCACTTAAAAATTCGGATTTTGATTTCTTTTACTTATTTATTTGAGAGATTTTTTGCTATAGAGCATGTATGCTTGCCAAAGAGACAGAACACAAGAAATCACCCCCTAGGGGAAATGGACATGCTATAATCCCTTCTCCTCCATTATTCTCTTGGGAGTCTGGGGGTTCTCGCATACGTGCCCAGTATGAAGTTTAAGTCACTGGGTCTGGGCCTCGAACTGCAGTCGACTACATGGGAGTCCAGTGACATAACCGTTATGCCAGCTGCTGGTACCTGATTTCTTTTTTCTGTTTTATTTTTAGAAAGACTTTTGCTATAGGGCATGTGCACTCACCAGAAAGACCGTGAGAAACCGAGACAGAAAGTGAGAAATCACCCACTAGGGAGGTGGCCACGCTGCAGCCCCTTTGCCTCTATTCTCCTCTTGGGATTTTAGGCATGCGAGCACATGTACCCTGTGTGAGATTAAGTTGCTGGGTCCAGGACTCGAACCGTGGTAGACAATGTGGGAGTCCAGCAACGTAACCATTCTGCCATCTTCTGGTCCCCACAATTTCTACTTAATCTAAAGCACCGAGGCATCCTATTTTTGTGTGAATGTCTTCAAGGATATTTGAATGGCCTGTTCAATCTGACAATACAGGAAGGTGGCGATGAACAAGAAGTCTCTTCAAATGGGCATTTATTTAAGCTGATCTATTTTCTAATTACATTTAGTTAACACAAGATTTCAAATACTCTCCCTCTTCCTTTGAAAAGCAGTGAACTCTTCAAAACGACATATACTAAGGATGCTATTACCAGGGAAGACTACTTTTTCTACATGTATTATCAGTACTTGGAGGTACAGTCTTTTTTCTCTTTACTTGTAATCTATCATTTAATGATCTGTAATTCGGCTACACAATCCTTTCTCTGCCGGTTCACCTGATTCATTCCTTTCTGGCTATTTTAACTAGCAGCATTGCTTTTGTTCTTCTATCACTCATTGGAGGTCTTGGCAAAAGCACATTATTTTATTTTCACATTAATTTTTTTCTATGTATAGGCACAATGCAAATGCTCTTTTAGCAATGTACCTTAAATTTTTTTTTTTTTTTGCTTTTCAAAACAAACACCTCTCAAGTTCCTTATGTTTTCTGGGAAAAAGAAAGTATCTTTAGATGCTAAACAGTGTAACCATCTGATTAGGAAGATCTAATTTACAATGAACAATCACCATTAAGAGGGTTTTAAAAAATAATGCCAGATTGTAGTTAAAATTACATTAAAATCTGGTGTGGAAATCATTGTATTGACTAAAATGTGGGAGACAGTCCATGTCCCAGGTTCTGCTGAGTGAGGTTTCCAGTATGGGCCAGATGCATCCACGTCAAGTCACTGAGCCCTCCAAGATGGCAAACCACCTGCATAAACCAGGACCTGCTCGGTGTCCCTAAGGTACTTTCCACTATGAAAAACACCCTTTTCGAGGTTAGGCCTCACGGTGCACTGAAGGAGAGGCAGCTGTGCGAAGAAAGCAAGGAGCGTGACCCCACCTATTCAGGCTCACCCTCCTCATGCTCCACTGCGCTCATTTGGCTGTGACCCTGTATAGGAGCAGGTGGGCTCGGCCAGCCTGGGCTGCTCGAACTCTGCCCATGTCCAGGAAAGGTCTGTCTCCTCAGGACTAGCCTTTGGTCAACTCTGGGAGATGAAGTTTGAGGCCCTGAAAAGAGGAATTCTGGATGCCTGAGGGCCTGGGCTACATGGTACCAGATGGATTAGGCAGTTTATGCTAATCATGTGATTTATGGTGAATGTCTGGTTAAAATCATTGTCGCCAAGTTACAAGAGCACGTAGAGCTAAAGGATTCAGATTAGAGCATTGCCCATGCTGGCTGTCAGAATCAGTGATTCGCTAGGACTTATATGACTCACAGTAAAGTTTATTACAGCAAAAGGATGCCGTTTGGGGCCTCCCCTACTCCCTGGGAGATGGAGTCCGAGTAGCTACATGACTGAGCCCCAGTAAAAACTCTGGACATTGGGAACAGCAAGTGGTGTAGCAGTTATGTTGCTAGACTCCCACATGGCTGATTGTGGTTTGAGTCCCAGACCCGGTGGCTTCAACATCATGCCAGGTGCGCATGAATGAGGGCCCAAGATCCCAGGAGGGAATGGAGATGGGACTGTGGCATGGCCATCCCTCCAGGGGGTGATTTCTCACTTTCTCTCACTGTGTCTGTCTCTCTGTCTCTCCAGGGAGTGCATGTGCCCTAAGGCAAAAACCTCTTAAAAAAGAAAAAAAAAAAAACAAAGAAAAGAAAAAAAAAACAACTCTGGATATCAAGGCTCAGATGAGTTTCCCATTTCCTGGCTGACAATCCTCTGTGTGTATTGTCACACATGGCTGCTGGGAGAACCAAGCATGTCTGCACAACGCCAGTGGCAGGAGGATACCTGGGAGCTTATGTTTTTTTTTTTTTTTCTGGACTACATCCCATGTGCTTTTTCCTTTTGCTGTAATAAACTTTACTGTGAATTTAGCAGTTTTCTGAGTCATATAAGTCCTAGCAAATCACTGAGCCTGACACCCAGCATGGGCAATGCTCTAATCTGAATATTTTAGCTCTGTGTGCTCTGGTAACTTGGTAACAATTACTTTAATCAGAGAAAACTTTGGCAAAGGATGCTTTAAAAAGAGTGAGAAAATAATTAGGAGGTAGTGACCCACGAACAATATCACCGATTCTTTGATTCTACTTCCTAAATAGCTTTTATTTTATTTATTTTGCTAGAGAGTGTGTGTGCTTTGCCTAAGACACAGAGAGAGAGGTGAATGCATCCCCCCATGGGATGGTCACACCACAATCCTCTCTCCTCGTCTCTCCTTCCTTTTGGGATTTTGGGTACGCATGCACATGCGCCTGGCATGTCTCTCAAGCTTCCAGGTCTGGGACTTGAACCACACAGTTGGTCATGTGGGATCCAGCCGCCTTAATCCTTTATCACCATGGAGATGGCCCCCTGAATATTTTTTAAATCTGTTTTCTTCTTTCCATTAACCAAATCTTAGCTCTGACCTTCTCTCATTACACAGTGGCAAAAAGTCTTTTCTTTTTGTAAGCTTAGTTATTTTATTCATGACAGTGTGCGTGTGTACATACGTGCATGAGAGTGAGAGAGAGAAGCAACTTCCACAGTTCTGGTTACACTGATACCCTTTCCCAGCCCCCCAGGTGGTGAGGATCTTGGGCATGGGTGCACTCACCCAGAATGTTTCAGGTCCACCAGGCTGGGGATTTGAACCTGTGGCCAGTCATGTGGCCTCCCCCACTGCAGTTTAGTCTATCACCAACTATGCCACTGAGGCTGGGCTGGCAACAGTCTTCTGGCTAGTTTCCATGCTCAGTCATCCCTTGTTTGCTGCCAGAGAGGGCCTTTAAAAATATACTTAGATTATCTTCCCATTTAGAATGCCTCCATGCTGTCTTACTGCCCTAAGTGTGAAGTCCTACAACCTTAATAGGCCTCTAACACCTCTGAGCCTGCATATACACCTTGCTCAACAAAACCCTCTTCCCAGTACTTCTGTTAGCAATTCCCATATTTTTCTAGTATCAACTTAAACATCACTTTCTCAGTGGAGCTGGTTCTGGGCTGCCTCAGTCTAGGTTTGGGCCCTTTGTCTCACTCTCCTAGTACAGCCTTCTCCACCTTTGCAGCCAACGTGGTCCACATGCTTCTTTTATTTCCTATTGGTAATTTTTTTTTTTTTTTTTGGAGAGGTTTTTGCTATAGGGCACGTACGCTCGCCAGACAGACAGAGAGACAGAGAGATAGAAAGAGAGAAATCACCCCCCAGGGGGGATGGCCACGCTGCAATCCCTTCTCCTCCATTCTCCTCTCGGGATCTTGGGCATGCACACACATGCGCTTGGCGTGAGTTTTAAGCCACTGGGTCCAGGACGCGAACCATGGTCGACTATGTGGGTGTCCAGAGACATAGCCATTACGCTAACTGCTGGTTCCCGCCTATTGGTAATTGTTGACTGCCTGTCTTTTCCACTACACAGGGAGCTCCAAGAGGACAGTGACTTTTCCTGTAGCACTGTAACCTCTGCACTTTAATATTCATGTGGGGCCTGGCACTGAACTAGATGCTCAATCAGTATTTGTTTACCAATTGTGCCTTAGGGAGGGAAGGTCTGGAAGGCAGAGTTGACAGGCAGAAACAAATGCTTAGAACAAGAAGAGGTAGCCTGTATAATACCTGGCCTGTTGTATGACAATTTCTGAAACATTTAAGAAATATAGGTACCAGCAGTTGGTGTAATGGCTATGTTGCTGGATTCTCATGTAGTAGATCGCAGTTCAAGTCCCAGACCTGGGGTCATAAACTCACACCAGGCGCATGTGCGTGCGTGCCCAAGACTCCAAGAGGAGAACGGAGGAAAAGGGACTGGGGCATGGCTATCCCCCCTGGGGGGATGATTTCTTGCTTTCTGTCTCTCTATCTCTCTCTGCCTTTCTGGTGAGCGCACACGCCCTATAGCAAAAACCTCTCCAAAAAAATAGAAAAAAATATATGCATGGATGTACCATTAAATAATCCCATAGAGCACATTATAAAGTATGTTTTTATAGGCTGAGAGGACTGAGCAATAACTGTATGACTAGGAGCTGGAAGAAGCCATGGCTAAGGCATGCCGCCATTTTAAAGGACTTGAAGCGGGGGGAAGGTAGCACCGTGTACCGTGCTGAGCCCTTCCACAGGGACCTGATGACACTGATTCAGTAAACATCACTGTTTCCAGGCACGCTTGCTCTGGACTAATTGAGGCATGTGTGTATTTTACACACCTACACGGGTTCCATGGTCAGTGCGGAGGATGGTTATTCACTTTGAAATCTGTCTAGGGCCCTTGCAGGCTGACTGCCCTAAAAATGATTCCTGGCCTCTCATTATCACTGATACACTGCCAATGTCAAGGCCTGGGAATTTGGCCTGGGCTAGACCTCAGGCCACGGTCTCTGCCAATCTGGCATTTCTTTGACTTAGTTCAGTGATGCCTGGACAAGTACCTACCCCAGCTCTGAGGCCCGTTAGAGATCACAAGCCCTCTTTCCATAGCAAGCTGCGATCTCTTCTCTCATTAAATTAAACCAAAAAGCATTTTCTACTCAGACCTGGAGCCTTACCAGATATCCATTCTCAAAAACATACATACATTCAGACAAATAACACACTTCAATCTTTTTTTTTTGGAGAGGTTTTTGCTATAGGGGTGCGCTTGCCAGAAAGACAGAGAGAGACAGAGAGACAGAAAGTGAGAAATCACCCCCCCAGGGGGGATGGCCATGCCGCAGTCCCTTCTCCTCCATTCTCCTCTCGGGATCTTGAGCACGCACGCACATGCACCTGGTGTGAGTTTAAGCCACTGGGCCCGGGTCTCGAACCACGGCTGGCTACAATGGGAGTCTAGCAACATAGCCATTACGCCAACTGTTGGTCCCCAAATAACGTACTTTAAAAAACTCTTTTCCCAGAGTGGTAGTGATAGGACTCGCTGGGTTGTAAGAGCATTTCCCAAGAAACAGTAAAATAGCCACCTCCTCACAGATAGTGGGAATTTTACAAGAAGAAAAAAAGAATCCTAATTCAAAGGGAAGGGAGGATGGGGGAAGACGAGGGAGATGTAAGAACATAGAGTATGTCTCAGTAAAGCAATGTTTTAGCTGTAATTCTGGGGTTTGCCGTTACTTGTTTCATAAACAGAATAGCAGTTCTTCTTGTCACATTTCTGATACTCTATTAAACAGACCACTGGGGAGCAACTGGAGACGACAGAAGTCGAGGCGGAGGAAAGGAGGTGCATGTGAGGCATAAGCTGGGGTCGGACCAGTCCACTTGTTTACCTGACTTGGTCCTCTCTAACATCTTGCCCTCCACTTCTTCCCCTAGGACTATCAGACAGTCCCCTGCTCAGAGAAGCCTCCGGACCCTGCAAAGCCTTCACTGTAGCTGCCGCTTACATATCGATCTTCCGAGTATTTACCTTATAAGTTTTTCAAAAGCTTCCTTTTCTTTCCGCAAAGCAGTGAGATAGCGCTGTTCCTCAGTTGAGCCTCCGTAAATAAGAAAGTAAACCCTGCAAGTTAAGACAGAACTCGATTAGGCTGCAAAAACAATTCTTAATCCCTGAAAGGAACAGTGGAGCATGTGAAATCAGCAACGTAGCATGATCGAGTAATAAATATTTGACTAAGAATAAAAGGTTCCAGGCCTCACACACTTACTGAAATCAAGCTGCCTAAACCCCACCTGTTAAAGGTCTTATTACCACATGGGTTCTTTTTTTTTTTTTTCCTTTAGCCAAGAGGAGGGATGGAGTTTAGGTAAACACTGAAATATAACTAGAGGGATAGAATAATTCTTTCCTCATAACTATAAACAAATCAAAAAACACAAAATCTTAGAGGCGTCTCTGTTTTCATTTTTTTCTTTGCACCTCTGCCAAATGATCATTTAAAAAGTTGGACGGTAGTTATAAAAACCAGCTTTTCAAAGTCTGTGTCAGTGAAAAATAAACACATGAAATCTATATGACCTTTATCCTCACAAGTAATTTCTCAGTTCTTTTTTGTTCATGTCTTAACAGAGTAGTCATCACACATTTCATATAAACACATGAACAAAGAAGTTAGATGGATTATATCAGGCCTCTCCTAACATAATTTGAGGCTCAGCCATGGTGGTGTAGGTGGTAGGGTGCCCCTCCACAATGCTGGAGGCCATCTGGGGGGACCAGGGGACCAGATCCCAGGTTGACTCATGGGTGTACCTGTGACCGGCTGGAGGCAGGGCTGTGGTGTGAGACCCTTTTGAGGTTGCATCTCTCTTCTTATGGAGGAAATTAATAAACAAACTTAAAAAATAATTTGATAAGATTTTCTCAGAAAAGTCTTGCTTTCTATCTTGTTTTTTATGACGAAAGCTGAATTCAGTACCTCCTCTGTCCCTTTTCTTCACCTTCTACCAGAAGTATTCTCCTTTCATAGCCTGTTTTTCTTTTAGCCTTTATTTTCCTAGATTTTATTTCTTCGAGGTACAGAGGGGAAAAGAAGATTGGGCAATAAGTGGAGAGACCTCAACTCTTCCACAGATGTGCCATGTAGTTGAGGCCAAGTCATTCACTACCTCAGGGACTCAGTTTTCTGCTGATAAGAGTGAGCAGTTGAACTCCCAGATCCCTTCTGAGTCTGACATTTTGTTTCCAAATATTACACTATTGTGTTCTCAGCAAGAAAAGAAGTTTGGCACTCATAAGCTATCTACAAAGCTGATCAATAGCAAAGTATGAAAAATTTACCAGCCTATAATTATTTTACCAGATTCATCTAATCTCTTCCTCCTGTATTATTAAACCCAGCTCCTCCACTCATCTCTACTCTACAAAGCTGTGTTAGTAAACTGCTAGAAAGTTTTCTTTTGGCTCTGTTTTTGGTTCAGGCTGAGTTCAGGATATTAATTTTGCTGTTTATTTCCTCTCAGATAATTGGAGAGCCAGAACACTATATTCTGTAGATTTTTCATCTGATTATTTCTTGAAACTCAAGAAAACTTGGTACAGTAATTCCCCCAAACACTTCAGTTTTATGTGGCTATAATTTAGATTCACTTCTTGAAATTTTTAAGAAAGACATTTTAAAAGATTAAAATTATTTAGCCAAGTCATAATTTCAATTGCTTTTGGGAGAACATAAAATATTTAAGGTTTCCTAGACTTCTTCAGATTGAGCACTTCATAAGCTACAGACCAATGTGTACAGAATAAGGCACAGCACAGAGAGGCAAGTATCTAGAACACAAGTAGACTCGAGTTTGTTTTTCTGCTATGAAATTTGACATTCTTCCCATGTAACTTCCCAGATTCATCAGAAAACAGAATAATTTTGTTTCACAAACTTAAACCAGCATCATAAAGAAAAGAATGCTAAAGACAAGTAATATGCAATTGGCATAGCTTCTGTATTCAGTCCTAAAGAACTGTGATATTAAAAGCTTTAGGAACCAGGCTGGCAGGTGGGGTGGTGGTTAAGGCACTGGACTCCCACACGGTTGACTATGGTTCGAGTTCTGGACTTGGCGGTTTGTTTTCTCACTTTCTCTCTCTCTCTCTGGTCAAATTAGGAAAAAAAAAGCTTTAGGAATAGTTATTACCAGCTATAACTTGCCTCAGGGGCTTCCCAGGCCTACTGGCCCTGTAAATTTCAAGCTGACGAACAAACGTTAGCTCAGCATCATAGAGAACCACGTATCGTGGCTCCACTTCATGGAGGATCCTGGTCAGAGCGTAGGGGTCGCTGCAACCCAGAAGTGGATGGATGATAGTGAGGGGTTCTTTCAGGATTCCATAAGCAGCATCAGACGACAGATTTAAATCAAATTCTTCGTGCTTAATTTCTCCCAAGCAGCTTTCTGGGCTACTGTTAACTTCTCTGTGATACCCTTCCTCAACATCCCCTTCCTCTTCTAGCTCTTCAGGTTTTCCTATCATTTGAGTTAAGGTCAACTTTCGCTTTTTCTTCTTGAGAGTCCTTTCTTTGGTAGAAGCTCGGTCTTTGTTTTGAGAGTCTTTGGGTCTTTTGTTAGATTTCACAAATCTCTTTGAACTGTCCTCCTTTCTGAATTTCATCCACACCTCTTCAGCTTTGCCATCCTTCTCGAAGGTTTTCCTGTAGAGCCTCAGCA